GGGGGGCATTAGAGCAGAGCCTACAACTTGAACATGGCGTGGAGCAGTTGCTTGCCGTCAAACCTAACGATAGCTGTCATAGTACAGTACAACAAACAAGACAAAATACTAAAACATCGAAATGGGTATTAGTAACTTTGATCCCACCCCCAATTCTTAATAAGCTCAAAGCGCATCCACGGAGGGGGGAGACCCCGGACAGGTGTACTAGATCAAGTAAGTCTTTTTTGTTTGTTTTGGGGGGGTGGGGGGGAGAGGAAAACAGTAAAAATAATTAACAGACCACATAAATTAGAATGATCCTGAACTTCGTTCTCCCGAGTAGGAGCAGCGCTCTGGGCACATGCGACGCGTTACATGTATTGTTTTATCAGTCACAGAGGGCTGCTCCCGGCTGCTACTTTTACGTGTGATAAAGCTAATGATATATCACCAAACTGCTAACGCGTGTGCACACATCTGGGGATGGAGCAATTAATGTTTATCTATGCGCATCATTACACAGACAGGAACATGCCCATCGTTACACAGGACACGCATGTCGTCGACATAAACAGAGCGGTAACGTCTGCGAAGTAAATTAATGAATAAAATGTTGGCAGAATGGTTGTTAGTTTTACTGTTTTAGCAAGCGTTTCGCGGCACTTCCAACACAATTGGGCCATATAAGTGCCCAAGACAAGAAACTTTACAAGAGAGTAACAAACACAAAAAGGAGGAGAAGTGATAAGAACGATAGAAGTTTGAAAAAAGAAGGAGCAGACCACAACAGAGCACTCGCCAACCACCCATTGGCACAACCGCAAGGCCGCCAACTTTTCAAAAACAAAAAAGAGACGGAAAGTGGAGACCCGGGGGGGTGGGGGGCGCCCATACTAGATTAAGTACGTTTTCGGAAGAAAAAAAATGACATCGCCTCGAACTTCTTGATCCGAGCCGGGCTCTACCTGAAGCCATAGGTCAAGACGGTGGGCACTGATTAAGTAATCTCCTATCCCCTCCCCTTCCCCCCCCCCTGCCCCAACCCTCAAACCCTCCACACGTACATTTCTGCATTCAATAAATTCAAGTTATTCAAAATAGACTTGCAGCAAAAGATTTCTCCAGATAACTTATGGACTTAGTTTTCGTTACAAATCGCACCTCAAGTCTTGAAATGTCATGGTTTATCTTCTGCATGGGTGTTCTGAGTATCAGTACCAGAAAACACACAAAACGTATTTTTCTAAAAGGTAAAAAAACAAACCCAAACAAACACGGGACTTCCAAACCATGAACCTCAAAAGCATATCAAATACGTTCTTTACGTTCGAGTTGGCAGCTACAGAACGGTCAATTAACTTAAAGTGGAAAGCAAGAAAAGAACAGCGAGAGGGCACGAAAATAAATAACCAGAGGGCACGAAAGAAACGGTAGGCCTTATTTTAGTTTCAGTAAGAGCTTGGCGGTACTTGCAACACAATTAGGTCATGTAAGTGTTGAAGATTAGAGATGTTACTACGGAGTAACAATTTTTTTTTAAAACGGGGAGAGATAAATAAGGACAGAATGTTTGATAGGAAAACGGGGCAAACCAATATATCGACAAAATGAGAGCAGACGTCTGTTTCAGAAAGTTCTCATTCTTAGCCTGGTACACTCTCGACCCTGTAAAGAGGGGCAGTCTAGTCACTAGTCATACTGCGGTGCATCTACCCGCAGGAATTAGAATGACAAAGCCAAAAACTGCCTAAGACTAGAGAGACAGGCTGGTGCATACTTTTTGCAAGTCAAATGTGTTTCGTTTACTCGAGCTTGTGCGCGTTGCTACCATCCACGCACTTTAAACTGCAATCAGTCAACAAGCGTTACATTTATGAACGATAATAATTTCAAGAGCCAAACCAGTGACGTCTCTCTCTCTCTCTCTCTCTCTCTCTCTCTCTCTCTCTCTCTCTG